GAAAGTATGAGCAGATCATCACATTCTGGAGCAGGTGAACAGTGAAAAAGTATGAGCAGATCATCACGTTCTGGAAAGAATGGTTCAGCGACCAGGGGATCTGACTGATGCTCTGCACTCACGGGAAGGGGGGAGATGGGCATACAATCAGACTGTTATTGGTACCATGAGAACTGGAACTCTGCACTTGTTGCTGAAGGTAAGGACAAAGCACCTATGGTCAAAACTGAAATTCTGTGCTGGCTGCTAAAGACAAGGACAGAGCATTTAGGGGAATGTCCAAAGTGCTATAATGCCAGCTTTTAATTCAACTCTTGACAAGACAAGAAGACCAAATTATGACAAATTCACAATATATTCTCTTTTTATTTTCATGAAAGCAAAGAAACATACTGATATTGCATACATCATTTATAAAAATCTGGCTTGAAGCCATACATCTGATACAATTGTAAAGAACAATTCAACACAAACTGAAAAGGGGGAGATGGCATCTCTGAAAAAGTGTGGAAGTTGTCAGCAGTCCACGTTGTCATGGTAACAGTAAAATTTGTACAAACTGGGATTAACATGACCTAGACCAGTGTCAGATAATGAGAATGGGTGGTGTCCTCATAATCTGAGGTCAAGGTATCTTGGTGTGGTAGAAGTTGCTCTATGTTTTTTGGGGACAACCTACAATGTTTGTTTGTTATATGCTGTATTATTTGTTTGTTACAGACTACAATGTTTATTTGTTACTTGTTACATGCTACACTGTGTTGCTGTATTATTTATATGTTACGGACTTCAATGTGTTTGTTTGTTACAGGCTACATTGTTTGTCTGTTAGTGGCTACAATGTTTGTTACAGAATAAAAGGTGTTTGTTACAGGTTACATGTTTGCTACAGACTAAAAGGTGTCTGTTGAAGGCTACATGTTTTTTACAGACTACAATCTGTTTGTTTAGTACAGGCTACATGTTTTTGACAGTCTACAATCTGTTTGTTACAGGTTACCTTGTGTTTGGTACAGACTATCTTGTGTTTGTTTGGTACAGACTACCATGTGTTTGTCTGTTACAGACTACCCTGTGTTTATTTGGTACAAACTACCCTGTGTTTGTTTGGTACAGACTACCCTGTGTTTGTTTGTTACAGGCTACATTGTCTGTTAGTGGCTACAATGTTTGCTACAGAATAAAAGGTGTTTGTTACAGGTTACATGTTTGCTACAGACTAAAAGGTGTCTGTTGAAGGCTACATGTTTTTCACAGACTACAATCTCTTTGTTTGGTACAGGCTACCTTGTTTTTGTTTGGTACAGACTACCCTTAGTCTCACAATGTCACGGGTTTGCATTATTGTTGTTATCTATATATTCACCCAGATATAAAGTTACATACTTTTACACCACACTAGAATATTACCTGTTGACACACACACACACACTTGAATGTTACATCAAATCTCTCTCCCTCTCTCTCTCTTTCTCACATATACACTCACATGCATGCATTGCATCCCCCCTCCCCACCCACAGAGAGAGAGAGAGAGAGAGAGAGAGAGAGAGAGAGAGAGAGAGAGAGAGAGAGAGAGAGAGAGAGAGAGAGAGAGAGAGAGAGAGAGAGAGAGACAGACAGACAGACAGACAGACAGACAGACAGACAGACAGACAGACAGACAGACAGACAGACAGACAGACAGACAGACAGACAGACAGACAGACAGACAGACAGACAGACAGACAGACAGACAGACAGACAGACAGACAGAGTACAAATGTTACAAATGCTTACAATTCAGACAACACATTTTGTTACATAGTAACATGGTTACACATTCAGACATGTATATCTGGCACAATTTTACAAGTTCACATACTGTTGTAACAAATCATATGTTTACTACACAGTGTAGAATACTGCATGTTCACATACACTGTTTAATGCTTTTGCCAGGGCTTTAAAAAAAAGATGCTGGTACTGACCACAAAGTATCTAAAAAAAGAGGCCAGTACTGACCACAAAGTATCTAAAAAAAGAGGCCAGTACTGACCACAAAGTATCTAAAAAAAGAGGCCAGTACTGACCACAAAGTATCTAAAAAAAAGATGTCAGTACTGACCACAAAGTATCTAAAAAAAGATGCTGATACTGACCACAAAGTATCTAAAAAAAGATGTCAGTACTGACCACAAAGTATCTAAAAAAAAGATGCTGATACTGACCACAAAGTATCTAAAAAAAAAGATGCTGATACTGACCACAAAGTATCTAAAAAAAAAAAGATGCTGATACTGACCACAAAGTATCTAAAAAAAAAGATGCTGGTACTGACCACAAAGTATCTAAAAAAAGATGCTGGCACTGACCACAAAGTATCTAAAAAAAGATGCCAGAACTGGCCACAATGAATCTAAAAAAGATGCCAGTACTGACCATAAAGTATCTAAAGAAGATGCCAGTACTGACCACACAGTGTCTTAAGAAAAGTTCTAGTAGTCACCACAAGGTGTTTAGAAAGGTGCCAATAATCACCATAACATGTTTATAAAGGCACCACTAATCTCCAGAAAGTGTTTAGAAAGGTGCCAGTGGTCACATACATTTTAAAAAAAGGTGCTGGTAGTCACCATAAAGTGTTAAGGACAAAATGTGTTTAAAAAGGTGCTAGTTGTCACCACAAAGTGTTTAGAAAATGGCCAGTAGTCAGCATACAGTGTTTAGAAAGGTGCCAGTAGTCTCTACAGAGTATTTAGAAAGGTACAAATAGTCTCAATAAAGTGTTTAGAAAGGTGCCAGTAGTCACCGCACAGTGTTTATAAAGGTGCTAGTAGTCACCATAGTGTTCAGAAAGGTGCCAATAGTCTTAGCAAAGTGTTTAGAAAGGTGCCAGTAGCCGCCACTAAGTGTTTTAAAAGGTGCTAGTAACTGACCACAAAGTGTTTAGAAAGGTGCCAGTAGCCGCCACTAAGTGTTTTAAAAGGTGCTAGTAACTGACCACAAAGTGTTTAGAAAGGTGCCAGTAGCCGCCACTAAGTGTTTTAAAAGGTGCTAGTAACTGACCACTAAGTGTTTTAAAAGGTGCTAGTAACTGACCACAAAGTGTTTACACAAATGCCAGTACTGACGTTACCATACACACACTGCACAACACTTTTACACTGTCCCACATTCATATACATTATAAGTACTCACATACACTGTACCGCACTAACACAGACCATACAGCACTCATACTGTACAAAACTCACATATATTGTACAGCCCCCATACACAGTAACAGACTAAAACACACTCTAAGCACTCACACTGTATAATGCTCACACACACTGTACAGCAGACACACACACACACTGTACAACACACACACACACTGTACAGAAGACACACAGACACTGTACAACACACACTGTACAGAAGACACACACACACTGTACAGCACACACACACACTGTACAGCACTCACACACACTGTACAGCACTCACACACACTGTACAGCACTCACACACACTGTACAGCATTCACACACACTGTACAGCACTCACAAACACTGTACAGCACTTACACAAACACTGTACAGCACTCACACACTGTACAGCACTCACACACACTGTACAGCACACACACACACACACTGTACAGCACACACACACACTGTACAGCACTCACAAACACTGTACAGCACACTCACACACACACACACACACACACACGCTGTACAGCACACACACACTGTACAGCACACACACACAATGTACAGCACTCACACACACTTAAATGTTCACACATGACACACGAACACACACATACTGTACAGCACTCAGACACACTGTACAATGCTAACACAGAAAGTAATTCACACATAAACACTGTACAATATTACAGTACAGTATTAAATATCTAAATAATGTACAATTAGTTAAAATTTATTAACAAAAAAGCATGACAGAAACCAGAACAAGCAGTTGTCAAATATTCTCTTATTAACAGAAACTAAAATGGAAGAAATAGGACCTTAAAAAGGCATTTAGCAAACTGTGTTGTGGTTAACAGCCAGTGTGTGATATCTTCACCTTTCAGTCCAACACACCAGATTTCAGTAAACTCCTCAGTTTGCCTGTCAAGACATGGCTGCTGTCCCTTGCACATTACTTAGACTGTTGTTACTCTCCCTCCCTGCAACTTGTCCTCAGAAGTTAGATTGTGGCAGTCTCTGCTATTTTCATTGGCATAAAAGCTATGGGCGCGTTTGATGCGATATTGTAACTGGCACAAAAATGGCGCAGCTATGGGATGGTGCGTTTGATGCGATATTGTAACTGGCACAAAAATGGGGCAGCTATGGGATGGTGCCTTTGATGCGATATTGTAACGCACCAAAATGGGGCAGCTATGGGGTGGTGCGTTTGATGCGATATTGGAACTGAAATTACCCGATGATCTATTTCGTTTTCCACCTATGTTGGCCAGTGAATTCAATTCTGTGATATGTATCTTACAGCTCATATAAATCTTGTCTTATGTATTGAAGTTTAGGACATATAGTCTTTAGCTGACTGTCTACAACTTGTTCAGTGAACTCAGACTTGAACCAAAGTGCAAACATCTAATCTTGTGAACTCAAGTTCATGAAACCAACCATTCAGGTGCCATCTGCACAGATAAAATTGGCTGAATGGATCTTCAACACTCTGTCACTTGTTTTGGTTTTACGCTCTCTTAGACTGCTGTTCCTCCATCTCTGGATATTGTCCTTCCACTTGTATTGTTGTATGCCTCTTATTCTCTTGTCCTAAATCTTTCCTTCCAGTATGGTTTAAAAAAAAAGGTTTTATGTTTTGTAATGTGACCAAAATATTAAGTCCATGAAATATTGCATTAAACATTGGGGGGGGGGGGGGGGGGTCCTGTTTATTCTCATCAGCCTTATCCATGTAGTGAAATTTATAATATATTGTATATTCAATCCCCATCCACCTCTTCCCTTGTGTGTTCCAGCCTAAAGCCTGTCTGGCTATGCTTCTCTATTAGTCCCAGGAAGCGACACAGCAAGAGATGGCAAACTTCTCTTGAGAGCAAGGATCTGCTGCTCCGCTAGAGCCAGGTGATCCTCCACATCCTGCATCTGGATGGTCAGTCTGGATTTCATGCTGATGAAGTGTTTGTAGTCCGACAGCTCCTGGGTGCTCAGTCTTTCTTGCAGCATGCTCAACAACTGTTCACTACGTCGGTCAAAGGCTTCTTTCAGCATTTTAGCCTCCTCGAGCTTGGCATGCAGCCTATCTCTCTTGTCCCAGGTCAGTTTCTGGGAAGAGGACACAAAATTGTTTCTATACAAGTGAATTAGACAGTTAGGAAAACAAGTCTAGTTTTTTTTTTTTTTTTTTTGGGGTGGGGGGTGAGGTGGTGTCTATATCTGTCTGTGTGTGTATATTTGTGTGTGTGTTTCTATGTGTATATATATGTGTGTGTTTCTGTGTGTGTAAGTATAAGGTCCGAAAATTAAGTAATGAGACTAATTCCATAAAAATAAAAAAAATCAATAGTTGAAGATATAACCTGTATTTTATTGAAAGTAAGCCTCTTGTACATTGATACAGCGAGTGGCACGATCTAACAAACATTGGAACGACCTCTGTAGTTCTTCTGTTGTTATGGCACTTAAAGTCGATGTTACGGCCCCTTGGATATCATCAATATCATCAAAGAAGCATCCTTTCAATGGCAACTTTAATTTTGGGAATAGAAAATAGTCACAGGGTGACAAATCCGGGGAATATGGTGGATGGTTGAAAACACAAACTTGTTTTAGCGCCAAAAATTCCTGTACAACTACCGCCCTTCGAGCCGGTGCATTGTCATGAAGAAGAAACAAATTGCCAGGAGTTGAATACAAACCGGCAAGCAATTTTTTTCTTGCCCAAAACTTCCACTAAAACTTTACGAATAGTCTCTGTATTAACACTGAGTTCATTTATCATCATCCTCACAGTCAAACAACAATCTTCTTGTATCCGTTCTCGGAATTTTGAAATGAGTTCATCATTACGAACAGAAATTGCGCAGGTCTAGTTGCATTAATAATCATTTCCACACCACTTTTGAATCATCAATACCAGCTAAAAATCTGTGCACGAGATAAAAAATTATCCCCATAAACTTGTCAGATCAGTTCAACTGTTGCAATGGCTCTTTTTCTGGGCATTAAACAGAATTTAATGTTAGCTTTCTTGCTCCACGCTGATTATGTAACAATGCACCTCTGACTAGGTTAACACAGGCTTGTTTGTTGTCTGCTTATCAGGGGACAATGAAAAGTTGACAGATCATAAACGAATGTTGCCTCTTTGGATTCCATGCTGTGATTCATAGATGGCATTTTTGTCTTAGCAATAATAAAATCAGTCTCATTACTTAACTGTCAGACCTTGTATTGTGTATGTGTTTCTGTGCGTGTGTTTCCGTATGTGTGTTTCTGCATGTGCGTGTGTTTTTCTCTGTGCGTGTATGTGATTCTGTATGTGTAGGTGTGTGTTTTTGTGTGTGTGTGTGTGTGTGTGTGTGTTTGTTTCTGTGTGTGCGTGTTTGTTTCTGTGTGTGCGCGTGTCTGTGCATGTGTGTCTGTAATGGTGTATAAGTATCTCCGTCTGTTGACAAGTATGTATGACTGTCTTTGTTTTTGTCTGTCTGTATGCCCAGGTTCTCTTTTCAAAATTTTACTTGCTTGTTTATTGTAGAATATGGGATCCATTTTCCTTATTCATTTCCTGCAGTATATAGTATGCATTTTCAGTGAAATATATAGCATCTATTGTCCTTATAGTACATAGCATCTTTTTTTCTGCGAGTACATATCATCTATTTTTCTTGGAATATAATGCCTTCATTTTCATAGTATAAAGCATAAATTTTCAGAGACTTGCCGTAAATCACAATACAATATGCCAAACACTATTTTTAAAGGTGAATGCAGAAGAAGAAGAAGAAGGAGGAGGAGGAAAAGAAGAAACAGCAGAAGGAGGAGGAGGAATAGAAGATGAAGAAGAAGAAGAAGAAGAAGAAGAAGAAGAAGAAGAAGAAGAAGAAGAAGAAGAAGAAGAAGAAGAAGAAGAAGAAGAAGAAGAAGAAGAAGACGAAGAAGACGAAGAAGACGAAGAAGAAGATGAAGAGAAGAAGAAATAGAAGGAGGAGGAGGAGAAGAAGAATGGAATGTAATGAATCCAATCCAAGTCCTATGTGACACATATCACTGATCAATACTGATCAATAAACAGATGAAAAGACTTGCCTTGAGTTTTGCATCTGTATCAGGACCCAGAGCCTGTACAGCATTCTCTGCCCTGGCCAGCTGGCCAGACAAGTTCAGCAGCAAGCGCACAATCTTCTCCAGGTCCTCTATGAACGTCATGAACTTCTCTTTCTCATTCTGAGTCTGGCACCTGGAGTCAGCCACCTGGCTCACCTGGGAATCATGAACAGGTAACAAGTCAATAGTGCTGGCAAGTAGGTGGTAAATTGTTTGAGCAGCTTGGCTAAATTTGACTGAGATGCAAACAGTAAGAAAAGTGCTAAAAGGATTACGGCAGTGTACAAATTACTGACACTTAGGCAGTAACACTGATCTAAAGATAATTCTATAGGCAAAGTAGGTATATTACATATATCATGCAGTCAGTTAATATGATAAGAAAGGTAGGTAGCAAAAATGATACCGACAAGATGGGCAGAAAATATGATATAGACAAATTAGACAGCAGATATGATGTAGACAGGACAGATTGAAATTTGCTACAGACAATGTGGATACAAAATAGGATACAGACAATGTGGATACAAAATATGATATAGACAATGTGGATACAAAATATGATACAGACAAAGTGGATACAAAATATGATACAGACAATGTGGATACAAAATATGATACAGACAATGTGGATACAAAATATGATACAGACAATGTGGATACAAAATATGATATAGACAAATAAGACAGCAAATATGATATAGACAAGATAAACAGCAAATATGATATAGGTAAGATAAACAGCAAATATGATATAGGTAAGATAAACAGCAAATATGATATAGGTAAGATAAACAGCAAATATGATATAGGTAAGATAAACAGCAAATATGATATAGGTAAGATAAACAGCAAATATGATATAGGTAAGATAAACAGCAAATATGATATAGGTAAGATAAACAGCAAATATGATATAGGTAAGATAAACAGCAAATATGATATAGACAAGATAAACAGCAAATATGATATGGGTAAGATATACAGCAAATATGATATAGGTAAGATAAACAGCAAATATGATATGGGTAAGATAAACAGCAAATATGATATAGGTAAAATAAACAGCAAATGTGATATAGGTAAGATAAACAGCAAATATGATAAAGACAGGATAAACAGCAAATATGATGTAGGTAAGATAAACAGCAAATATGATATAGGTAAGATAAACAGCAAATATGATATAGGTAAGATAAACAGCAAATATGATACATAAAAGATAGACAGCAAATATGATACATACAAGATAAACAGCAAATATGATACATACAAGATAAACAGCAAATATGATACATACACGATAAACAGCAAATATGATACATACAAGATAAACAGCAAATATGATATAGGTAAGATAAACAGTAAATATGATATAGGTAAGATAAACAGCAAATATGATATAGGTAAGATAAACAGCAAATATGATATAGGTAAGATAAACAGCAAATATGATATAGGTAAGATAAACAGCAAATATGATATAGACAAGATAAACAGCAAATATGATATGGGTAAGATAAACAGCAAATATGATATAGGTAAGATAAACAGCAAATATGATATAGGTAAGATAAACAGCAAATATGATATAGGTAAAATAAACAGCAAATGTGATATAGGTAAGATAAACAGCAAATATGATAAAGACAGGATAAACAGCAAATATGATGTAGGTAAGATAAACAGCAAATATGATATAGGTAAGATAAACAGCAAATATGATATAGGTAAGATAAACAGCAAATATGATACATAAAAGATAGACAGCAAATATGATACAAGATAAACAGCAAATATGATACATACAAGATAAACAGCAAATATGATACATACACGATAAACAGCAAATATGATACATACAAGATAAACAGCAAATATGATATAGGTAAGATAAACAGTAAATATGATATAGGTAAGATAAACAGCAAATATGATATAGGTAAGATAAACAGCAAATATGATATAGACAAATAAGACAGCAAATATGATACATACAAGATAGACAGCAAATATGATATAGAGAAATAAGACAGCAAATATGATACAGACAAGATAAACAGCAAATATGATATAGGTAAGATAAACAGCAAATATGATACATACAAGATAGACAGCATCCAAAAATCATTTTTCAAGAAATTATCTAGGCTGCACACACCAGGGCATGCTTCACTGGAAGTACAGATTTCATTCTGTGTGCAACCAGCTTTCAATCCTCTCAACTCCAACTGTTATTACAATCACAGCCATCATCAACATTAAAACAATCACAATCATCCCCATCATAATTCCCATCCTCCTCCTTACGATCACCACTTCTGCCACCACCATCACCTCTACCACAAGCTCTCACCTGCTGGCCTAACAAGATATTGTCAGCTACTTCCTGCTGCAGTGACAGCTTCTCCTCCTTCAGAACCTGGATCTTTTTCTGCAGCTTTTCCACCAGCTCTTCCTGTGGATAGAAGACAACAGGTTCATACACAACCCTTCCTCTATTACACGCAAATATTTCTGTCTTTCTGTAAGCCCAGTAGGCAGGTAGCCTCAACCTGACCCACTGTACAACTCTCATGCTATATCCAGACAGCAATGAGAATGTTCTGTTTCTATAATATTTGACATTGCAGACTCCTTTTATGTTCAGAGCTGCACTGAAAACTTAACAGTTTATGAACCTCCACAATACAGAGCTGCACTGAAAACTTAACAGTTTATGAACCTCCACAATACAGAGCTGCACTTAACAGTTTATGAACCTCCACAATACAGAGCTGCACTTAACAGTTTATGAACCTCCACAATACAGAGCTGCACTGAAAACTTAACAGTTTATGAACCTCCACAATACAGAGCTGCACTGAAAACCCAACAGTTCATGAACCTCCACTATAAAGAGCTGCATTAAAAAAAACAGTTCATGAACCTCCACTATAAAGAGCTGCATTAAAAAAAACAGTTCATGAACCTCCACTATAAAGAGCTGCATTAAAAAAAACAGTTCATGAACCTCCACAATACATAACTGCACTGAAAACCTAATTTTTCATGAACCTCTTCAATACAGAGCTCCAATGATAACCCAACAGTTCATAAACCTCCACCATAGAGAGCTGCACTAAAAACTTAACAGTTCATGAACCTCCACAATACAGAGATGCACTGAAAACCCAACAATTCATAAACCTCCACTATGAAGCGCTGCATTGAAAACTTAACAGTTTATGAACCTCCACAATACAGAGCTGCACTGAAAACTTAACAGTTTATGAACCTCCACAATACAGAGCTGCACTGAAAACTTAACAGTTTATGAACCTCCACAATACAGAGCTGCACTGAAAACTTAACAGTTCATGAACCTCCACAATACAGAGCTGCATTAAAAACTTAACAGTTCATGAACCTCGACAATACAGAGCTGCATTTAAAAACTTAACAGTTCATGAACCTCGACAATACAGAGCGGCATTAAAAACTTAACAGTTCATGAACCTTGACAATACAGAGCTGCATTAAAAACTTAACAGTTCATGAACCTCGACAATACAGAGCTGCATTAAAAACTTAACAGTTCATGAACCTCGACAATACAGAGCGGCATTAAAAACCTAACAGTTCATGAACCTCCACAATACAGAGCTGCACTGAAAACCCAACAGTTCATGAACCTCCACAATACAGAGCTGCACTAAAAACCTAACAGTTCATAAACCTCTAAAATACAGAGCTGCATTGAAAACCTAACAGTTCATGAACCTCTGAAATACAGAGCTGCATTGAAAATCTAACAGTTCACACAAAACAGCCATATCTAGAGGATGATTACGACTTTCTGATGTAAAGTCTGTCAGTCCCAGGACATTTCCAAGAGGATGCATGAACTGAATAATAACCACACTGATATAACAGATTACCAAGAAGGTGGATGAACTGAATAATAACCACACTGATATAACAGATTACCAAGAAGGTGTATGAACGGAATAATAACCACATTGAGATAACAGATTACCAAGAGGGTGCATGAACGGAATAATAACCACACTGAGATAACAGATTACCAAGAGGATGCATGAATGGAATAATAACCACACTGAGATAACAGATTACCAAGAAGGTGCATGAATGGAATAATAACCACATTGAGATAACAGATTACCAAGAGGATGCATGAATGGAATAATAACCACACTGAGATAACAGATTGCCAAGAGGATGCATGAGCGGAATAATAACCAAACTGAGATAACAGATTAAAAAGAGGATGCATGAATGGAATAATAACCACACTGAGATAACAGATTACCAAGAGAATGCATGAATGGAATAATAACCACACTGAGATAACAGATTACCAAGAAGGTGCATGAATGGAATAATAACCACATTGAGATAACAGATTACCAAGAAGGTGCATGAATGGAATAATAACTACACTGAGATAACCGATTACCAAGAAGGTGTATGAACTGAATAATAACCACACTGAGATAACAGATTACCAAGAAGGTGGATGAACTGAATAATAACCACACTAAGATAACAGATTACCAAGAAGGTGGATGAACTGAATAATAACCACACTGAGATAACAGATTACCAAGAAGGTGTATGAATTGAATAATAACCACACTGAGATAACAGATTACCAAGAAGGTATATGAATTGAATAATAACCACACTAAAATTACAGATTACCAGGAAGATACACAAATGGAATAATAACCACACTGAAATAACAAAATACCAAGAAGACGCATGAATGGAATAATAACCACACTGAAATAACAGAATCCCAAGGTGTATGATTGGAATAATAAACACACTGAAATAACAGAATCCCAAGGTGTATGAATGGAATAATAACCACACTGAAATAACAGAATCCCAAGGTGTATGAATGGAATAATACCCACACTGAAATAACAGAATCCCAAAAAGGTGTATGAATGGAATAATAACCACACTAAAATAACAGAATTCCAAGATGGTGTATGAATGGAATAATAACCACACTGAAATAACAGAATCCCAAGAAGGTGTATGAATGGAATAATAACCACACTGAAATTACAGAATCTCAAGAAGGTGTATGAATGGAATAATAACCACACTGAAATTACAGAATCTCAAGAAGGTGTATGAATGGAATAATAACCACACTAAAATAACAGAATTCCAAGAAGGTGTATGAATGGAATA